TGTGTGTGTGTGTGTGTGTGTGTGTGTGTGTATGTGTGTGTATTTAGGTGCATTGACAATAAAGGTCTATTCTATTTTATTCTAGCAGTGAATAAAACTCAGGTACTTAGGAAATTATAAAACTTGTCTTAGTTCAAACTGAATAAAGCCTTTTGTTCTGCCCCACCACAAAGGTCCTGGTTCTGTAAGTTGCCCTTTTGGGACCAAAGGTTCCCCAGCCCTGGCATAAATATAGAAAGAAAGAAAAGATACACATATATAATGCAGTACTAAAAGCAGAAGAGGTCATTAAAAACAAGAAACAGGTGGTGAAGAGGAAACTGGAGAACAAAGCAGATCATTGAGGACATATGATGCAGGGAGCAGAAAGCCAAAAAGCAACATACAAAGTTTAGAATGTTTGTGTAAACATTGTCCAAGGTACCTCAGATGGAATTTAGCTTAAATTGTTCTAAAGGCTGGTTTGATTAAAAAGAAAAGCTGCAATAAAATAACAACAACAAAACTATTTGGCTGTATTTTCATCAGGCTTTTGCAACCTGTTACAGGTTTTATATTTGTCTTGTTGTGTAGAAACATTCCTCAAGCTGGGGCATATATTTAACAGAGGGATTTGGACCAGCACCAGTTCTGACATGGCACCAGTCTATGTTAGAACTCAGAGGTTATTCAGATCAGAACCAAACAGAACGGTACGTGCATCCCGCTTAACAACACAAGAGATTTTAAATTGTAGCAAATCTTTCAAAGTCAAGATCAAATGTTCATTCAATTCATTCAACCTTAGGTTATTCTCACTGAGCCTCAATGACTCATTTACAAGCGAGACCTGATTTTAACAAAGAGTGATGATAACAGTGGACATAAAAGAAATAATCCAGGTATAAAATCCAACATTTTTCCGGATCGAAGGCGAAACGTTTCAGCACAAAAAAAGAAACTGTCCAGATGACCTGACTGAAAAATATTGGATTGTATACCTGGATTATTGAGCATGGACTTTGTTGTTATAAAACATAATGTTTTTTTTTATCAATCATGATTAAAAAATAAATACTTAAATGGTGCCGGCTTTATCATGAAATCCTGTTTTCACTTCAATGACTTTATTAAATAATCTGTTAAAGTTAACTCAGCTGAAAAATCATAAAAAGACAAAATTATTGGATCTCTCAGGGATATTTCCCTCAAACATGTGTGAATAAGAGATACAGCCTTTAGTTCAACTTTATTCTAACCCACACATGTACAAATCACAAAACAATAATTAAACTTTAAATCAAAGCAAAAAAATAAAATAATCTGTATACAAGAACCAGAACCACACATCTAAATTGAACAATAAAAGTAGACACAATGAGTGCAAATACATCAAATGATGAAGAAAAATATAGAAATTTAAATATAGATGTTTTTGTAGAAACTGGTTCATCAGAAATTTAATTCAGTTCAGTTTATTTATATAATGTCAAATAACAACAGAAGTCGTCTCAGGGCACTGAACAGAAACATTCATATATAAAATCAGGAGGATTTTCTGGCAGCTCGCTCTGCTATTTGCTGCGAATTATCTGTTTCTGTTTCGGCCTGTTGATTCTGGACTCAGCTTCTGTTTCCTATGGGAGCATCCATCCATCTTCACTGGGGGGGACGGAGCCCCCCTCAGCCCAACTCAAACTGCAGTTGGGCCACCTCGTCGGGTTTGTTTGCCCATTTGAATTGTGTCGTTTTATGGTCTGAGACTTTTCTGCACCATTCATACTATTGTCACTATTTTCAGATCTCAAATTTTAAAAATAAATAAATAAATTTTATTATTCCCAGAGGGAAATTAAGTGACTAGACTCTGACTCAGACTGTCTGGAGTCACTGAATCTTGTTAGTACACCTGGATCTGCCCATCACTGCAACTTTCACTGTTTTTGGGTTCTGAATGATCGCGTCTTCATTAATGTTTCTCATGGTTCAATTATGGGGGCTAATTATCACGGTGTTAACTCCTGTAATTACACATCAGTCACAAAAAACTCAAGAAAATGTCTATAGTAATGTTGTTACTGCTCTCAGGGATTCAGCCCAACCCTAGACCCACTACTAATTACAGCACACCAAATGACTTTAAGAACGTGTCTGGGCTTCATTTTCTACATGTAAACGCACGTAGCCTTCTGAGAAAACTTGATGCCTTGAAAATTCTGGTCAGTTCTTCTGGGGCAGATGTAATCTTCATCTCTGAAACCTGGCTCAACAAATCTGTACTAAATAATGACTTGGTAATCAATGGATTTTACATCTACCGCTGTGATCGTCAAAAAAAAAAAAAAAAA